AAAACTGGGTAGTCATGTGCAGAAAGCAGAAACTGGACCCCTTCCTGACACCTTACACCAAAATTAACTCTAGATGGATTAAAGACATAAACATAAGACCTGGCACAATAAAAACCCTAGAAGGAAATCTAGGCAAAACCATCCAGGACATAGGAGTAGGCAAGGACTTCATGAACAAAACACCAAAAGCATTGGCAACAAAAGCCAAAATAGACAAATGGGACCTAATGAAACTCCACAGCTTCTGCACAGCAAAAGAAACAGTCTCTAGAGTGAATCGGCAACCAACAGAATGGGAAAAAATTTTTGCAGTTTACCCATCTGACAAAGGGCTGATATCCAGAATTTACAAAGAACTCAAACAGATTTACAGGAAAAAAACAAACAAGCCCATTCAAAAGTGGGCAAAGGATATGAAAAGACACTTTACGAAAGAAGACATATATGAGGCCAACAATCATATGAAAGAATGCTCATCGTCACTGGTCATCAAAGAGATGCAAATCAAAACCACCTTGAGATACCATCTAACGCCAGTTAGAATGGCGATCATTAAAAAATCTGGAGACAACAGATGCTGGAGAGGATGTGGAGAAAAAGGAACACTTTTACACTGTTGGTGGGAGTATAAATTAGTTCAACCATTGTGGAAGACAGTGTGGTGATTCCTCAAGGCCTTAGAAATAAAAATTCCATTTGACCCAGCAATCCCATTACTGGGTATATATCCAAAGGACTATAAATCGTTCTACTATAAGGACACATGCACACGAATGTTCATTGAAGCACTGTTTACAATAGCAAAGACCTGGAATCAACCCAAATGCCCATTGATGCTAGACTGGATTGGGAAAATGTGGCACATATGCACCATGGAATATTATGCAGCAATCAGAAATGATGAGTTTGTGTCGTTTGTAGGGACATGGATGAATCTGGAGAACATCATTCTCAGCAAACTGACACAAGAACAGAAAATGAAACACTGCATATTCTAACTCATAGGCGGGCGATGAAAAATGAGAACACATGGATACAGGGGAGTACTAAACACTGGGGTCTATTGGGGGGAAAAGTGGAGGGCCAGTGGGACGGGGAGGTGGGGAGGGATAGCCTGGGGAGAAATGGCAAATGTGGGTGAAGGGGAGAAGGCAAACAAAACACACTGCCATGTGTGTACCTATGCAACTGTATTGCATGCTCTGCACATGTACCCCAAAACCTAAAATGCAATAAAAAAAAAAGAAAAGTAACATAACAGCTGATGTCTCTGATTTCACTATGCCAGGTGTGTGGGAGTGATGGAATATAGATATGTGGAACGTCAGTCCCAAGAGGACCAGGAATATTCCCAGAACAAATGTTTGGAGCAAACACAGAAGTGATCCAGACCTGAGACTTGCTGGGAGGTCAGTTATAAAGAGGGCAATGAGTTAGGACTCAGCCAAGTGCTCATGTACTAAGGACACACAAACACTGAAGTTTAAGTACAGACAAAAAGTCTGATACCAATCAAGCCAGCAGATCCTGGAGTCAGTGAAATTAAATCCTACTTTAGTATCCACCATAGCCAAATGTTTGCCTTCTCCTGAAACTGGAATCAATCCCCACATTATAGGAAGGCCAGGTTCTGTTCAAAAGTAACTTTGTGAAGAAGGGGCATCTACTGAGCTAGAGTGCAGTTAAGGAGTAGAATCATCAGTTCCCAAACATTTTTTTAAAAATTGGACTTGACTAGGGGTCTTTGAGAAAGTGTCTTTCTCATTTATATTTTAAACAAATTGAGAAGTAAGACAAATGGCAGGTGGGAAGCTGAAGCATAACCTTGGTGAAGGTCAAGGTGGAGCACATGACATCCAGTGGCCTTTCTAATAGCAGATCCCAGAATCTGACAGACTGCTCACCCAAGTCAATTCTGTTACCACCAGCTCAGAGACAGAGCCTGGCCCCATGAAAAACAGAGCTTCTGTTTCCTATGAGCATTTCATTCCTTGTTAGCAGCTTGCACCCAAGAGGAAAACAGCCACAGTTAACCAAGTATCCTGGGTTTTCTTCCCGAATTTACCACTCACGTAAGTCCCCCCAGCTCCTCAGGAGTAGTGTCCACAAAAAGGCAAGAAGTATCCCCCAGGAAGCTCAAGCAGAAGAGGCTCCACTGGCTCCCAGATTTATTAGTAGTTCTTTTCAGGCGAGGCACACCTGGAGAAGAGATTTCAGTTCTCTTTGCTCATAGTTCTTCAAAAAGAAATCTATCAGATTTCAGAGCTAAATATATCTGTTGATGAGGTCAAATTTCCAATAAAGAAAAGTTTTCTGAAGCACTGACAGGGTGTTTGAGATAACTTGGCAGAACTAGATGCCATTTTTAGAAAAACAATTAAAACTACACTCATCTTTATGTTAAGCAAACAAAACTCCAGGCTTCCTCTCTCCAACATGGACAAGCAGGCAGCAAATACAAGCAGATACAAATGGAATCAAGTCAAATATGGGGCATGGCAGTAACTGTCATAAAAGTAGGGGAAGTCAGATATTTATCCAATAAATATGTAGGAAGAACTTACCATGTGACAGGAACAATGCTGTGAATCATAAGAAACTGCATTTGTCCTGTGGGAGCTTATAGTCTTATGAGAGATATAGACAGGTAATCAGACAATTACTATGAAACCACATATACATTATTAGAAATGTGTAGGGTGCTTTGAAAGCAGGAAGGGGGCACCATATCTAGTCTTGGGGCTGGAGGAAAGGATTTCTGGAGAAGATTTTAAAGAACAAGCAGTTGTTTGTCAAGACAGAGGGGCCAGAGGGGAGGAGGTGACAGAGAAATACTAAATAGAGGAGACAACAAACTAGTCTGCAGTTCAGAGAGGATGGTGATTCCAGAGAAGTAAACAGAGTCAAAAATGGATAATAATGGAATATAGGATATAGTGTGTGTGTGTGTGTGTGTGTGTTTGTATGTGTGTGTGTTTTTGGTGGATGAGTAGAAAAGTGGAGGATAATTTATAAATAATAAATCTTGAGATTTAGATACTTGAATATATTAAATATATTTAAGATATAAATAATAAGAATATAGTTATATCATGAATATATGTTAAACATATATTCAAGTATATAAATGTATCAAAGGACAAAGTCATAAAGAGAACTGTAAGCCATGTTGGAATTAATTCCTAGAGCAAAGAGGGCAAATAAGCAGGTGCATGACAATATATCTGTTGTCACATCTGTGCTTTTAAAATGTCAGTGGCTACAATGCGGAGCATGTAGGAATGACTGCCTTGAAGTATGTGATCATCACACTACTATCTTGTTTGTTTGTCTGCACTTGTTTGACATGCTGCTGTAGTAACTATTACAATTGGGGCTTACAAAAGGTGAGCCTTCTGTCCACTAATATGTGCACTCATGTGTCTTTGAGTTATAAAAGTCATTGCAATAATTTCTTCTCAACATGGAAGCCATAGACGTTGGACTTCCAGAGGAGAGTCTCCAGTTTTTCTAGATTTAGTCCCAGTCTCCAGCTTCCCTGCCCTCACCCTCTTTATTTTGACATGGCACTTGTTCTCAGGTGTTAATTGAAATAAACATTCAAGATAGGACTGACATGACAGACATCATCTTGCCCTCAAAACCACATCTCATCTCTTCACCATGGCCCACTGCCCTTTCTTTGACCCATGCTTGTACAACTCAGTTCACTCTTCAGGTTTCAGCATAAATATTATTTCCCTAGGAAAGCATTTTCTGACCTCCTGCCCTAAACTATCTTAGATCGTTTTGTAACATGCTTTTATAATATTCCATAATTCTTTGAAATATTTACTTTACTTGTTCATTGTACATCTTCTCTGAGGGCAGAGGTTATAGCTTTCTAAGCCTAGCACATTGCTACCTAGCTGGTACTCAATAAATATTTGTTTACTGGGTAAATGACCTCTGTGACTAGAAAGACATGATACCTCATGTAACTAGAGCTTTGTTTTTAATGTCTCTCCAAAAGTCCCCTGGCATTCCAAGATATGCCTGAAATCCAGGGTGAACACATCATAAAGTCAAGGCTTTTGCTTTGTGAGGCTTTGAAAGTGGACAGAAGATTCATGTTGCATATCTCACAAAAGGCTTCCTTTCCAAAAGATCATATTATGATCAGGAAAGGTAGTCAACAAATCTACAAGAACATACTATCAAAAAAGTTGAAATTTTTGTTTGATTGCTTGCACTGGGGTAAATCGAGAAATTTTCAGGTAAACATGAAGAATCTGGGCAGCTAAGAAATGAGATAAGGAAAGGAAAACTACAATAAATGACTCCATCACCTCCACAGGTGTTGTTGAGGACCCAGCTGGGTGCTAGCCACTGGAAGAACTGGTGACTCACACCCTTCAGAAGCTCACAGTTTCTAACCTGTAGACCCATGGTTCTATTTTTTAAAAAAATACAGCTGCATTTACCTCTGCTGCTGCTGCTGCCAGTCCACCTTCTGGAATGAGAGGAGGATGTTTCTTTTTACCAAAGCGACAGAAATGCAGTGTTTCTTATCTGTTTATCTGCATGCTGTTTTTCTTATTAACTCCTCCAATAAATATTTATTAAATGTTCACTGTGGGACAATCTCTATGGTAAGTGAAATAAAGTAACAAGATATTGCTTCATTTCTATATCTTGTCCTCTTTCCTTTTCAACGAAGAAAAAGTAATGTCAACATAAATTCATATAAAAGAATAATATTCAATGTCCTGTGCTTTGCTTATCTTCTATTAATAGCGATCTGCCCAGCTGGACTTATTTTTGAACCCCTACTCTATGTCAGGTCTATGTAGTACAGGCACTACAGAAGAACAAAGAAGGAAATTTGTAAACCCTATCCTCCACGAACTTACAACACACTTGAAGAAAGACGATACAATCACTTAAAAAAGAAACCTTTATTCTTGTTCTTATTACTCATTTTTCTAAATCTGATCTAAAAACATTCATTTTCTCTCCAAGAAGCTAAGCAGGCAGTAACATCAAAGAAAATACTTTGCTTTAATATTCTCTTATTCTTCCTTGGTTACAATTTTTATTTCACTGGGTTTTTAGCACATACGAACCTAAACAAATAGTTTCCTTCACTAATCCTCTCTGCCTCTTTCAACTCTCCTACCTTCATTGATGCTGGTTTTGCAAGTACTGAAGACAATTTTTCTAGCAAGCTCTCATCACTGAATCATTCCAATTTTGATCTTTTGAGAGCAACTTGGATTTACAAATGTTTGTTAATCATGGTTTCAATTGAAAGGGAAGAGCTTCTGGTTTTTATTTCTTTGTAAGCTAAGGTTTCCCACTTTCATTTGGCTGCAGTCAGTTTCATAAACAAGACTTACTCATATTTATTATTTTGCTAAAATTAGCAGGATGTTCAGTCACGGGTGTTACCAGAGTCTTAGGGAATTGCACTTTTCACTTTAAGGCAGGATAGCTTTGTGATGGATGGCTCCCTGGGCTCTTTGACTCTGCTTTCTGCTGTTTCTTTCTCCAGCCCATTGCATGCTGCTGTTTGTCTTGCAAAATGTCTGACAACTGAGAGTGGAGATAAAGCACTTAGAGCTAGATGGAGCTGGGGAAAGAGAGAGAGAGTTCAAGTAGATCAACACGTTCCTTGAGATGCAACGAGCTGGTCCTAACTCATGTATCAGATCCTGTACCTAGATGACCTTATTTACTCCTCATTATAGCCATATGAAATAGATGCATGTTATAGATAAGAAACAGACTGGAGGAAGTGAAATATCCTGTTTTAAGTCTTGTGATTCCCAAGGTGCAGAGCCCAGTTTCAATTCCGGGTGAGTCTGGAATGGCCATCTGTCCTCTGTGTTCTCTTACAAGATGCTGCACCCCCATAGAGCCCTTGCCATGGAGGATTGCCACTGTCCTTTTCTTCTCTCTCAGTTAATCTCTGAACTCATAAAGAATGTGGATTCTGTCTTGTCCTCATCCCACGAATCTACTTCAATTCCTGGCACATCGTGGGTGCTCACTATTATCTGTGGACAGAAAAAAAAGAATGAATACATCTGTTTGCTTTGCCTTTCTCAAAGATTGTAACCATCACATATAATGATATATGGGAGACATTTGTAATAATGAAGTACTACATAAAGGTGTATGTTGACATGGGCATATCTTGTATCTTTATTACTAGGTTCTGTCTTTTGAAAAAAAATACTGTATTCTGCTGGTATTTGTGTCTTCTACATTGCCTAGCTGAATCTTAATAGTTGGAGACATTTAATAAATACTAATTGATTCAATAAATTTATGACAGTTTATAAAAGCAAGATATAAAAAGCACATGATTAGCTCTGTGTTTTTAAAAGATCACTGTAGCAAAAGGGAAAGATATTTGGAAGGAGGTAAACATAAAAATAATGGGGAAAACAATCAGAAGATACAGAAGATAAACTACAAAGTCTTAACCTCAAAACATGTCAAAAGGCATCAGTTGAAGCAATGTTCTCTTTATATATCTGTCTAATCTACCAAGATATAAAATTAAAATCTATAGGAATCAGAATAATCATTTATATGTGTGGCAGTATTGAACACTTTTCACATGGTCATCAGTAAATTTAGACCTTTTAAAAAATAAAATCTCTAAAAAGGAACGTGAAAACAATTTTCTCAAAATAGTTATTTTTGTTTCAAAGCTTTTGCAAAAAAAGTCTATCCTAATTAGCATTCAGTTTTGCAATAGTAAGTGGGAATGGCAGGTTGTACCTTTCCCTTTAGGATACAGCTCCTCTGGGACCTTCCCATCTGTTTCTGCTTTGGTTGGAGGCAATTTCTCTATTTCAATTTGTATATGGATTCTACCTCCATGTCATGTTTCACTTGCCCTGTATGCTAAGAAAATGCTAAATGTTAGAACTGAGAAATGAGATGCCATAATGGTAGTACTGCTTCTTGTGTTGTCATAATGTTCTAAATATTGAAGAAGAGGATCTAGCTAAAAATAATTTTCCAGGTATTGATGTCAGTGTTGCTATTAAAGCAGCAAAGTGCTTAAAATATCATTCCACAGTTGACAAACAGATCCACCGTATGGCTTCAGAATATCTTCTTGACTATGTAACAAGAAATATGGATGTTTTTTAATATTAAAGGATTTAATATTAAAAAACATTGTATGAATTTGTAAAACTGAAAAATATGCACAAATGCTCTAATTTTTGCTTAAAGATGTTTTGTCCTAAAGAAAAAAATTCTAGCATGAGTAAGATAAAATCTTAATGATGAATGTAAAAAAAAAAAAAAAGATTCACGTAATAAAGTTGGCGGGACATGAGGGGCAGGGATGAGATTTTCTTCTGTCTATCATATATTAATATCCATACATACCTGTATGTTTTGATATGAGAATAGTCATCTATCACAAAAAATATCTGCCACATGTGTGCTTGATATGAATTAATAATTTTTATTTTGTTTCATTTTGTTTTGTTCTTATTTTGTAAGTGATAGAAATAAAAAGGAGATCTATAATGAAAAAGCTGATTAAGAACATCTCAGCGTTCCTTGTCAATGTTGATGAGGTAACATTTTCATTTTATTGGAGGAAAACTGATGCTCAGAAGGCGGAGGTAATTGTCCAAAGTCACAAAGTATCAAAGCTGAGCATTAAATGTACATTTCGTGCCATCTTTTTTGTGACTCTTTATCCAACGTATTTTGCCTTTTGAGGGAGGCAGAGAAACACAGTAAAAATATCACTAGCCTAGAAGATGAAACAAACAAAACAAAACAACTGTGTTGAGGCTTGGTTTCCTCCCTGACTAAATGGATAACCTTGAGAAATGAATTTGAATTTTCAGAACCCCAGCTTCCTTGCATATGTAGAATGCCTACTGTGGCAAAGTACTCACTGATATATAACATCATTTTTAGATGGTGATTTTCTGCAAAAGGAATTCTAAATTTTCAAAACTCCAAGGCAACATCCTGTAATCATCAATACATAATTATAATACAGATGTAGAGATTTCTACAGTGTTTAAGTGCACGAGACTTCAGAAGAATGAAAGATCACTTATTTCTGTCTAATTTACACCCATTTACTCTTATTCTGAAGAAAAGCTTCCCTCATTTTAGTAAAAACTTGTGGATCAAAATATGCTAAAGATATGAAGGAGAAGTCTCCACTGGAAAATCCACAGAATCTCAAACTTAACATCCTCCAAAATAAACTTGTTATCTTTAAGCTTCTCTTCCTCCACTAATCTTCTAAAAAAATTTTTTTTTAACTAGAGAACTCAGTCATCTTTTATTTTTGCCTCTTCACTTCCCAATTTTAGCCACTCTTCTATCATACTATTTCTATTTCAGGAATTCCGTTTTAACCCTCTCTTACTCTAATAAGTACATAGTCCTCTAGACCATATGCCCTGTCACGCTTTTACCTATTTACTTCATGCCACAATGCACACTCTCTTTAGTTTATCCATGAACTTTTAAAGAGGTTCTTCTGGCTCTCACCCCTAATCATTTCCTCATCATTTTGTATTTCCCATTGTGCTCTATGACAAGTTAAAATCCAAACCCTTTCTCATGATCTAATGAACAGTTACCAATCAGATCGTATGAATTTTTCTGAACTTAGCTCCCCTGCCTTCATCAGCTCACCTTTCCTTTCTTTTCCCTCATCTCCTGAACAACTCTTGCTACATTTCTCATAATTCTTGAACTTCCATATTTTTCATGACTTATGCCTCAGCACATGCCCTCAATGTCCAGGAAGGTTTCCCTTTACTTTTCTGACCCATTATTCATTCTTTAACTTGAGCTATATCATTGTTTTTTTATCCCTTCTTTCTGTATTTGCCTTTTCTTGAGATGTAATTCACATAGGCAATTCATCATTTCAAAGTGTACACATAAGTGGTGTATTAGTGCCCCATTCTACAGGTGCCAATTTACTGTATTAGTTTATTTACATGCTGCTGATAAAGACATACCCAAGACTGGCAATTTACTAAGGAAAGAGGTTTAATGGAGGACTCACAGTTCCACATGGTTGGGGAAGCCTCACAATCATGACAGAATGCAAGGAGGAGCAAGTCACCAGTCTCTGTTCACAGCCAAACCATATCAAGTGATTTTTAGTAGAGTCATTAACTTCTGCAACCATCACCAGAATTTTATTTCAGAAAAATTTTATCACCCCAAAAAGAAACACCATACATACTAGCAGTTACTACCATTCAACTAGTCAGCTCTGGGCAATGACTAATTTACTTTCTGCCTCTATGAATTTGTCTATTTTGGATATTTTATGTAAATGGAATCAGTCCAAATACGGCCTTTGTGTCTAGCTTCTTTTACATAGCATAGCGTGTTCAAGGTTCATTCATGTTGTAGTATGTACTTCATTCCTTTTTGTGGCTGAATAATATTCATTGTATGGATATACAGCATTGTGTTTATTCCTTAATTGATCAACGTTTGTGTTATTTCCACTTTTTGGCTACTATGGATTATGCTTATTGTATTTATTTTCAAAGCATATTTAATTTGTGTTTTAACTATTACTATAAAGCTTCTAAAAAGCAGCTTTCTCAATTCTTGAGCCCCACTTTTTAAGAAAACCATTTTTAATTTTTAGGCCTTTCTTCAGATTTTGCATTCATTTTCAATGTAAGTTATTCATTTTCTTCAATTTTAGACAAATCTATTTATATTCTACCAGAGACAAGAAGAATTTAGGACTTTTCTGTCCTATCTATACTTTCTTCCTTTCTCTCCATATTCTTTAGAAAATTTATTTCAAAAGTTTCTGTTATTTCAATATCCAGCATATAAATTGCTATGTAAACATTGTTCACAGCTAACCTTACTGGATTTGCACATTATTTATGGCCATATAATGCTTACACTTAATGCAGATTATTATTACATATAAATGAATATGAGAGAGAGAGTGTGTGTGTGCATGTGTGTGTGTGCATAGCAAATATCTTGGTCTTTTTTTAGTCTAATGTCTGTAAAAATTTATAGCAGTTATATCAAAGCCTTCTTTTAATTAAAAAAACTAGTTTTCCTCTCTATAAGTTCTTTGAGCTTTGTCTTATCATGTGCCCTTCCTCTTACTATTTTTCTTAAAAACATAGTACTGATAATCAAAACAGATATATGGACCAATGGAACAGAACAGAGGCCTCAGAAATAATACCACACATCTACAACCATCTGATCTTTGACAAACCTGACAAAAACAAGCAATGGGGAAAGGATTCCCTATTTAAAAAATGGTGTTGGTAAAACCAGCTAGCCACATGACATGCAGAAAGCCAAAACTGGATCCCTTTCTTACGCCTTATAGAAAAATTAACTCAAGATGGATTAAAGGCTTAAATTAAGACCATAAAAACCATAAAAAAGAATCTAGGCAATAACATTCAGAACATAGGCACAGGCAAAGACTTCATGACTAAAACACTAAAAGCAATGATAACAAAAGCCAAACTTGACAAATGGGATCTAAATAAACTAAAGAGCCTCTGCACTGCAAAAGAAACTATCAGCAGAGTGAAAAGGCAACCTATATAAGGGGAGAAGATTTTTGCAATCTGTTTATCTGACAAAAGGCTAGGATCTAGAATCTATAAAGAACTTAAACATATTTATAAGAAAAAAAACAGCCCTATCAAAAAGTGGGTGAAGGATATGAACAGACATTTCTAAAAAGAAGACATTTATGTGACCAACAAACATGAAAAAAGCTTGTCATTACAGAAATGCAAATCAAAACCACATTGAGATATCTCTCATGCCAGTTAGAATGGCAATCATTAAAAAGTCAGGAAACAACAGATGCTGGAGAGGATGTGGAGAAATAGGAATGCTTTTACACTGTTGGTGGGAGTATACATTAGTTCAACCATTGTGGAAGACAGTGTGGCAATTCCTCCAGGATCTAGAACTAGAAATACCATTTGACCCAGCAATCCCATTAGTAGGTATATACCCAAGGGATTATACATTGTTCTAC